ATAATGGCTAGTTTTATGTGTCACTGTGGCTGGGACACAGTGCCCAAATATGAACATAATTACAAATATTTCTGTGAAGGGGGTTTTTGGATGACATTAACACTTTATATCAATGGACTTTTTTATTTAAAAAGATTTTAACTTAATACATTAAAGTTGTACATATTTTTGGGAAACCATGTGATATTTCAGTTCATGTCTATATTGTGTGATGTTATATGATGGGGTCAGCATATCTTGCCAAACTTCATTTCGTTGTAGTGAAAACATTCAAAATCTAGTTTTTTGGAAATATTCAGCGTATTGTCATTAGTTCCCTACTGTGCAATACTACACTAGAACTTAACTTTCCTAGCCATCTGAAACATACCAGGGTGGGGTTTGGGGCTGGGGTTGTGGCTCAGTGGTCGAGTGCTTGCGTAGCACGGGCCAGGCCCTGGGTTCAGTCCTCAGCACCACATAAAAATAAATAAGTAAAATAAAGGTATTATGTCCATCTACAACTAAAAAGTAATTTTTAAAAAAATACTTCCCCATTTCTTCCTCCCTAGAATCTAATATTCTGTTTGCAACTTCTATGAGAAGTTTAGATTCCATATATGAGTGAGATTGTGTGGTGTTTGTCTCTTTGTGCCTGGCTTATTTCATTCAACAGAAGGTCCTCCAGTTCTGTTCAGATTGTTGGAGATAACAGGACTTTATTCATTCTCTCTCTCTCTCTCTCTCTCTCTCTGTGTGTGTGTGTATGTGTGTGTGTGTGTGTGTGTGTGTGTGTGTGTTTTCAGTACTGGAGATTGGGCCCAGGGCCTGCACACTAGGCAAATGTTCTACCACTGAGCTACATCTCTTACCCCACATTATCCCTTTTATGGCTGAATAATGTAATGTGTATATACATCACATTTTCTCTATCTTGGCTACTGTGAATAGTACTTCAGTAAACATGGGAGGCAGATGTCTCTTTGAAATACTCTGTAAATCAGTGGGGGTTTTTTTTGGGGGGGAGGGGCAGGTACCTGGAGATTGAACTCAAGGGCACTCCACCACTGAGCTTATGTTTAAGTAACTCTTATTTTACCAAATAATGGCTTCAAAGCACAAGAACAGTGATCTTGGGAATTTGGATATGTGAAACAGAAGAAGTAAAGTTCTTCTCTTAAGTGAAAAAGTGAAAGTTCTTGGTTTAGGAAAGAAAACATTATGTTGCTAAAGTTGCTAAAATCTACAGGGCCATAAGATATCTTTGAGAGAGGACACTTTCACATAGCTTTCATTAAAATATATTTATTATTAAATAACAATATTATTTTTCTTTTATTGATGTTCATCTCTTAGTATGCTTCATTTATAAATTAAATTTTATTATAGATTATACATTTATGAAAAAACATAGTAAATGTAGTTTTATATCCTTTATCTGAATGGCTTGGGACCAGAAGTGTTGCAGATTTCAGAATTTTTCAGATTTTGGAATATTTGTATAATTTGCCATTTGAGCATCTCTTATCCAAAAATTATCAGATGAGGGATGCTTAGCCTGTGAAATATTTGGTACTGTCTATAGTTTCAGGTTTCCACTGGAGTGTTTGAATGTGTACCCCTCAGAAAAGTGGGGATACTGTACATAGGAAAAAGGAAATTATTGTGTATGAACCCTTAATTCAGTATTTTCTCAGGCAGCTGAGTTCTGGCTGGGCCCAGTATGTTTTCACATTTGTTATAAATACCCACAGTCTTCTTTGTGGGTGGGAAGGCAGACTGCTATGGAAACCCCATAAAATAATAAGTTGGTTCAAGTGTAGTGTAAATAAAGTCCAAGGTGATGAAAAGTCAGCAAGAAGCAATGGACTGTGAGTCATGGGAATGGGAGTTTTACCCACAGCAACTGTGAGGACTTGTTAATTACATTGCAATGTTTTTGTGATTTTAAGTATGTTGGAATTTGGATAGTAATTTAGAAGCCATATGTTCAAATGATTAAAAAAGTAAAAACAGGTTATCAACTGGGTGCAATAGCACATAATATAATTCCAGCTATTTGGGAGGCTGAGGCAGAAGGATCAAAAGCTGGAGGCCAGGGATGGGTTTGTATATCAGTAGTAGAGTACTTGCCTTGCATGTGGAAGGCACCACATAAAAATAAAATAAAGGTATTATGTCCACCTACAACTAAAAAAAACATATATATATATATATATATATATATATATATATAAAATATATATTATTTGGAGGCCAGCTTGGGCAATATAGTGAGACCCTGTCTCAAAAAATTAAAAGGGCTGGGAATGTAGTTTAGTGATAGAGTACCACTGGGATTGATCCCCATGATACAAAAACAAAAGGCCAAAAACAAAACAGAAAAAAGGCCATCAAAGACTGAACTCTGTTTTTTTAAACATGGAACCACATCCCCAGTTCTTTTATTTATGTTTTTATTTTATTTCAAGACAGGTCCTTACCAAGTTGCTGAGGTTGACTTTGAACTTGTGGTCCTCTTGCCTCAGCCTTCTGAACTTTTGGGAAGTGCCACTGTGCCCAGCTTGATGTTTTATTCACTTGCACACTCCCAGTCCAGTCCTTTTTTGTTGTTGTTGTTGTTTTGTTTTGACTTTACCTTGTGATGCTTTGGTGTATGTATACATGGTATCTATCTCCTCCAACATTTATCAAGTCTTTATGACAAAATCATTCAAACTCCTTTCTAACTTTTTGCAATGTACCTTCTGCTCCCTATCTTTTGGTTTTCAGTGGTTTTATTGACATATTTCTTTTATTTACATATTTCCTGTGACTGGTACATGATAGAGTGCATATGTATAGGGACAAACAAAAGGCTTCCCTTTGCCCTCTGAAGATTCACAGGGGTGAACTGACAATAGACAGATTATATGGGAGAATAAACAAATATGTTAATGTGCTGGGGGAAAAATTAGACATATACAAAGTGTATTTTTACAAAGTGTAAATTTTCCTTTCAGAGGAAATGGCAGAAAATTGAAACTTAAATATCCTTTCATAGGGCATAGGGCGAAAAGTGGGGATGTTGGCAATTTTTAGAGGACTAGAAACTGATTTTTAAGGGAATTCAAAGGATAGCCCAGTTTTTAGGGGAATTCATTGGAGAACATACAGAAGCCTGGGATATAGTTGGTTTGGCTTGTAGAACAGACAGTGGTTTGTAAATGATGACCTTTGGAATACTGAACTGATCAAGACAGAGGACATTGGTATGTGAAAAAAGTCTGTCCAGATATATTGACAGACTGCAGTCCCCTGAGACTGTTTAGTATTTTCTGGTTAACAAAATTTCAGAGGATGAAGATTGAAGATGACTCTGTTTCTCCTTTGGAGGATCTGGTCACATAATGCTGCTCCTTGGACTGGGATAGAGAGAAACAAGGGGAGGTGATAGGGACCTTGTTTCTGAGATGGATTCTGTGGCTTCTCAGCATGTCCATAGCAGCAGTCTTTGGAGTATGTGTATGTGAAATACACACACACACACACACACACACACACACTCTAGGGATTGAACTCAGGAGTCCTTTACTAATAAGCTAAATCCCTAGTCCTTTGTATTAGACAGGGTCCTACTAAGTTTCTAAGGCTGTCCTTGAACTTGCAACCCTTCTGCCTCAGCCTCCCAAGTTACTGAGATAGGTGGGGTACCACTGTGCCTGCATGGGATATCATTTTCTGAGCCCCAACATATGAGGTTTTGGAACCCTATTTGGGGTTCAGTAGCACTACATATGATAGTAGTCCTGGTTAAATCACCTCATTTTTTTTTTTTTTTTGGTAGCAGGAATTGAACCCAAGGGTGTTCAACCACTCACTTTTAATTTTAATTTGAGACAGGGTCTCACTAAGTTGCTTACAGCCTTACTAAGTTGCCAAGGCTCACTTTGAACCTCCCTGTGGTCCTCCTGTGCTGGGATTAAAGTTGTGAACCGCCATGCCTGGCCTAAATCACCTCATTTAACACAAGATAGCATTTATGAGTCCCTAAACCAGCCACTAGGCATCAGGCAGAAACCAGACTTCTGGGCTATGGTGTGACTGAGTTATAGAGCACTTGCAGAGCATGTGCAAGGCCCACAAGTTCCATCCCCAGCAAAATTGACTTCTGCCTTGTGGAAATGGATGCATTCATTTAGACACCCAGCATTTATTGATTGTGCTGATGTTTATCAAGAACTGCATGTGTGTTTCAAAATCTGTGATCAGGAATTCTCTCTTTTTTGGGGGGGTTATTGTGGATTGAACTCAGGGGTACTGAACCACTGAGCCACATCCCCAGTTCTGTTTTTTATTTTATTTAGAGACAGGGTTTCACTGAGTTGCTTAGGGCCTCAACATTGCTGAGGCTGGTTTGAACTCAGGATCTTCTTCCTTTGCCTCCCAAGCTGGGATTACAGGTGTGTGCCACTGTGCTGGCTAATAATTCTCTTTTGTTTATTGTTGATTTACATTTTGTTTATAAGGGTCTTACTATGTCACCAGATGGGCCTTAAATTCCTGGGCTCAAGTACCCCTCTTGCCTCAGCCTCCCGAGTAACTAGAACTTCAGGTGCCAGCCACCGTGTCCAGCTACATTTAATACTTGAAAATATTTTCCCTACTTTGTAGAGTAGTTTTATCCTATCTTAGAAAAGTGAAGACATAATTTTGCCCATGGGCACACAGCTGGTGAGAGGCCAACCTATTCTCAGCCTGGAATCTGCCCAGTTTTGGGGAGCCTTGTTCTCAAGTATAAGGCTTAATCCACACATCAGGAAAAGTCAGTTTATTTTCATTGAAAACTCAAGAGTGCAGGGAAAATATCCTGTGCTCTGGGTGAGCTGTTCTTACAAGTGTGGTGTCAGCATGGAATTAATGTAAGTGAAAGAACCAAGTGGATGCTTCATGAGTCTTTTCATAGCCTTTTCATAGCCTTTAACCTGCCTGTGTGTGAGGATGGAATGATAAATCTAAAATTCTTTCCTTTGCTTCCACAGCGCATTTATTATCTTTCCCTGGAATTCTACATGGGCCGTACATTGCAGAACACGATGGTGAACCTGGGCCTTCAGAATGCATGTGATGAAGCTATTTATCAGGTATGGGGCCCTTGTGTCTGGGCTTTTGGTTGGCCTTTGTGGCCCTTGAAGTCCCAGAGGTCAACACAGATGTTACGATTGGCCACAATCTGGGAATGGGCAAATGTGTTCTACCCTACTGGAGGGATATGGGTTGGAGGGCAATTTCTTCTCCCTCAAGAGGACAAGGGGATGATAATACATGGAGTGCAAGGACTGGGTTGAATTGTGCAGTACTTCTCACTCCCACCCCAGGGGCATGTTTAGAACATGGGAAAAGTGATTGTTATTGCCCATTTCTGCTTGCTTTATTAACTTGGTAACCCAGACCTGATCCTCCACATATACCCCTAAAATAACCTCCTGGTTAAAAAGCTGGTCTTCTTGATGGAAGAAAGCCCGGAGTGGCTCACGTAATATAGGGGGGAAAAAAAAAAACAGGTGACAAAAATATACTTACATAAGCCCTGAAATAAATTGAAAGTAATGTTTTAGAGTCATAACAAAAATAATGATAATTATAATAAAAACTACTTTCTACTTAAAAAAAAAAGGTGATTTTTCTCTGATCAGAGTAAAAACTGTTTTTCCTTAATGGCACCTCATTAACATTGAATCCCTTTGGGCTTAACCCTTTCACAGGTCATTTGTAGTCTTAGAGCAGAGCTATGATTGGTTTCAGCTCTGTCTTCCTAGTCTATCTCCTTTTCCTGCCATCTCCTGGTACACAAGTCTCCAGTGGAGAAGTTCTAGGGTGTGACCCCATAGCATCCTTTCCCTTGGCATGTGTATGGGAAGGTTTTCAGTGAGGGGTCCTCCCTACCAGCCCCCTGCTCCTGCTTTTGCTCTTGTTGGGTTTGAGTGGAAGGAACTGTGGCGCTTGTTTGGGGATATAAGTCCAGCAAGGTTATAAGGTGATACCCTGCTGGGAACCCCTTCTTAGTGCCTGAGGTATATAATATAGTGCTTAGTTGAGTTGATACATGGAGCAAAAATTTTATTTTCTGCCTGTAATCCCAGAGGCTTGGGAGGCTGAGTCAGGAGGATCATGAGTTCAAAGCCAGCCTCAGCAAAAGTGAGGCGCCAAGCAACTCAATGAGACCCTGTCTTTAAATAAAATACAAAATTGGGCTGGGAATGTGGCTCAGTAGTTGTGTGCCCCTGAGTTCAATCACTGATACCAAAAAAAAAAAAAAAAAAAAAAATTCCAGATGGGATATAGCTCAATTGATAGATTGTAGAGGGCTTGCCTTGAGTGTACAAGGCCATGGGTTCAATCTCCAGCACCATGAAAAAAAATTATTTCCAGGTCTCCATTGGAGAAGTTCTAGGGTGTGACCCCACAGTTTCCTTTTCCTTGGCATGTGTATGGGAAAGTTTTCAGGATAGAAGTTACCCTGGCAGGTGACCTGACATTTAAGTTTACCGAATAGTCACTTTAGAATGTGTCTGTAAGGAGCATAGAACATAGTATCTTAGTCATACCTTCTGTGGATTTTACAGTTGTAGAAGTGTTTTAGTTGTTGAAACTTTTAAAAATACTTTTTAGATAAAGATTTTAGAAACTATAACATAAATATGCAATAATCTTCTGTTGGAAAGGTTTTTGTGGTGACTAAGACCTTCATGGCTCCCAGTCCACATTTGCTGAGTGCTTCAAGTTTTAATATGGGTGCCAGATGCTTTGAGTGGGAGGAAACTAGGACACAGGGCTTTAACAAGCCTCTTCCCCAAGGGCCTCCCTATTTAGAGTGCAGTATTAGAAAAAAATGAACCAATGCATCATATAGAGCTGGAGAGGTTAGGGAGCAATTTACTCTCAAAACTAGTACTTCAAAAGAAGCAGCTCTCTCTTGATTAAGTTTATTAAAATTGTTTTAACTATAGGAAATTGTAAATATATATAAAAATTGAGTAACTGTTATAGTAAACTTTTCCACATACCTATTACATGGCTTCACCAGTCATCAGCTCCAGCTTATGGCCAGTCATGCTTTACTTATATCCTTGTACTCCCAGATAATTTAAACCAACATCAAAAAGCATCATATTTTAATAGGTATCTCTAAAAGATAGGGACTCTTAAAAACAGTTGTACCATTGTGATCCCTAAAATATTAATAATAATAACCCTTTAATATCATTAGTTTTTCAGGCAGTACATAAATTTCTTATAATAATTTAGATGCATTTGGCTTATATCTCTTAAACTTCTCATAATTTATACGCATTTCCTCTTTTTTTATTTTCTAAATTTTTTGCCTTACTATTTATTTACAGATAAATCTGTAAGAACTAGGTTTATCTTACAGTTTCTACACTCTGCATTTGACTGATTGTGTCCTCATCTTGTGTGTGTGCTTTGTCCAAAGATGTCTGCTCTCACTGTTTCCTAACATTGTACTGGAAATTCTAGAGAGGGTATTTTTATAAGAAAATGAAACAAAGCATCCATCTTAAAAAGAAAGAAGCAGAAAATGAAACAAGGCATCCTTCTTAAAAAGAAAGAAGTAAAACCTCTGTTTGCAGATGACATGAAGTAGAAAATCCTAAGGAATCCATTAAACAAGCATTAGAATTAGTGAGTGAGATTAGCATAGTTGCAGGATATAGTGTTTGTCTATAAAAATTAACAGTATTTTTATGCATCTGCAATGAATAATGCAAAATGACACAATTCCAATTACAACAGCATCAAAAAGAATAAAATACTTAGGTGTAAATTTAGCAAAAGCAAAAACAAAACATAACACCTGTATTCTGAGAACAAATAGAGTTAAAAGAAATTAAGGATGACTTAATGGGAAGACATCTCATGTTAACAGCTTGGAACAATTAATATTGTCAAGATGGCAATACTCCCCAAATTCAGCACTATCCCTAGTCCAACTCCAGTTGACTTCTGTGACTGAGAAGCTGATCCTAAAATCTAGATGGACTTGAAAGGGACCAGGAATAGTCAACACAATGTTGAAAAAGAAAAACATTTTTTTTCAACAATAATGTTGAAAAACAACAACTCACACTTCCCAATAAAGCAAAGGTCATTGAGATTGTATGGTATGGCAATCAGGTTACACATAACAGACCAACAGAATTAGTTGGAGAGTGTAGAAATAAACCCCCACATTATGTTAAAATTTTTTCCCATTAAAAAAATTTGTGGTAAAATGAATATAACCTTAAATTCACCTTCTGAGCCCTTTTTAAATGTGCAGCTGAGTGGCATTAAGCACATTCACATTGTTATACAACTATCACCAGTACCCATCTACAGAACCTTTTCTTTTTCCTAAAATTGAAACTCTGTTCATATTAAAGAACTTTCTATTCCCATCTCCCTAGATCCTGGAAACTACCATTCTGCTTTCTGTTTCTGTGAATTTGACCTTTTGTGACTGACTTATTCATTTAGCAAAATGTCCTAAAGGAACCAGGTGTGGTGGCACACAGCTCGAGGCAGGAGGATCCCAAGTTCAAAGCCAGCCTTAGCAACCATGGGGCCCTAAGCAACTTAGTGAGACCCTGTCTCTAAATAAAATACAAAGTGGAGCTGGAGATGTGGCTCAGTGGTTGAGTGCCCCTGAGTTGAATCCCAATACTTAAAAACAAAAAATATCCTGAAGGCTCATCCGTGGAACCTTGATAATGTTATGCTAAATTGAAAGAAACCAGCCACAAAATGCCACATATTGGATGTTTGCTTTTAAATGTCCCCAGTAGGCAATTTCATAGAGACAGAAAGTAGATAAGCAAAGTTTCTTTGAATTCTTCTGCCTCAGCCTCTCAAATAGTTGGGATTGTGGACATTCTCCACTGTGCTCAGTTTGTTATTTTTAAATGAATTTGTGTGTGTGTGTGTGTGTGTGTGTGTGTGTATAATATATATATACACACATGCTATATATGTATATATACATATCCATATGCAACACATACTTTAACATTTTTCTTCATTTTAATTTTTAACTTGATAAATTATTAATTTGATAGATATAATTTATATAAGCAAAAAACTTTTTGGATTCCCCCTAAGTCCAAAAAATTTCAAAATTATTGATCCAGATAATATTAATAATTTGTGAATTTTATACATACTAAAGCCACATTAATAGAATATTTATCATATACCATAATGCCATAATTGAGAGGCTTGAAATCTACATTTTGGAGGTTTTTTTTTGCAGTACTAAGGATTGAACCCTGTGATTCTATACTATTGAGTTACACATCGCCAGCCCTTTAAAAAAATTTTTTTGTTGTTGTCGTAGATGGACACAATATCTTTCTTTCTTTTTATTTATTTATTTTTAATGTGGTGCTGAGGATTGAACCCAGTGCCTCATGCATTGGAGGCAAGCACTGAACCACTGAGCTACAACCCCAGACCCAGCCCTTTTTTAATTTTTAATTTTGAGACACACTTTATGTTGTGGAGGCTCGAACTCTACCACTGAACTATATCAACAGTTCTTTTGTTTTTTATTTTGAGATAGGGTCTCACTGTATTGCTGAGGCTGGTCTCGAATTTGGATCTTCCTTCCTTAGCCTCTGAAGTCACTGGGATTACAGGCGTGTGCCACAATGCCTGGTTTCTAGAATGGTTTTAAGACACTTTAAGTAGTTGGGAGTCTGCTGTGTTTTCTCTGATTTTTAACATGCTGTATCTTTTTCACTAGATTGTTTGAATATGAGGAAAGTACTTTTAGGTTTTGGCTTTAAGAAAAACAACATATAAATATTTGATCATGTTTGAAATTAGGGAATTGTTAAAATTGGTTTCAAGCCATATTCAGTGCCATGTGCCTATAATTCCAGTTATTCAAGAGGCTGAGGCAGGATTGCTTGAGTCTAGAGGTTCAAGGTCAGCCTGGGTGACATGGCAAAATCCTATCTCAAAACAAAACAAACAGCAACAAAAATCCTGCCCACAGGGGCTCAGGTTGTAGCTCAGTGGCTGAGCGCTCACTTCACATGTGTGAGGAGGCACTGGGTTTGATCCTCAGCACCACATACAAAAATAAATAAATAAGACAAAGATATTGTGTCCATCTACAACTAAAAAATAAAAATAAAAAATAAAAATGAAAATTCTGCCCACAAATCATTCATTTCATATTTAGGCAGCATATAATCTGTTCACCATAAATAGGTTAACAATATGGCAATAAATCTTTTGCTATTAAACCATGTCTAATTTTAACTTTTGTTTTCAGTTTTTGAAATACCTGAAGACTTTTTCATTTCTCTGCATTGATTTAAAATTTAATTTTAATTTGTGATTTTTAAGTCTGAAAGAATGGGATAAACTTAGAGGATTTGAATATTTTCAATCTTTGTTTGAGAGATAATATTAAATAGTGTTAAAATGTTACCCCTGTTTTCATTTGCAGTTGGGGTTGGACTTGGAAGAACTAGAGGAAATAGAAGAGGATGCGGGCCTTGGAAATGGGGGCCTAGGGCGGCTGGCAGGTAACTGCTCTGTTTAGGAACAGGATTTGGGACAGTTGGAGGGCAACCTGTACTTGTCCCTAGCCCATTGGCCAAGATCAGAGGAGACCAGATCAGATGTTCTCTTGACACTGATTTGTCAGGATATATCAGCCTCCCTCAGAGTGGATGGGTGATGTATTTTTCAGATTAAAATCTTTATCTCTCAGTTAAAAAAAAAAAAAAAAAAGGAAAAAGAATATTTTCTGTCCCACAGGGATGCTTCACAATTATCATGAAGGCTAAAGTAGCTAGCACTGGATAAGCTGGTTCCCAGTACCAAAAATACTTGGGAGCAGGACAGAGGGATGGAAATGTGGTGTGCATGTCACTCCACTTACACTGAGCAGCTGTAGTTTTAATACACAAAACAGATGGCCCTGACATCACAGAGATATGCCTTTGTGGCATATTACTCCCTCTGGCTACTGTATTTGAGAATATATACAGTGTTGTTGTTTTCTGTTTTAATTCTTTTTGCTAGCCTTTCTGGACGAGGGAGCTAGGTAAAGAATATGGAAGTAGGAATAGTGGTTTTGTGGCAGTGTATGGATGGGAGTTGGAGGGTGGCCTGGCTTTGAGCCACTTCACTACCCCCTTGGGAAGTTTTCAATTTGTAAAACTAAGTGTGCACACTAAAATGTATCTGTGGGAGTGTGTTTGCATTTTAGATGTTAACTTAAATTCTTCAAAAATTCTAAATGAAACATGTTTTTCTAAAAAAAAAAAAAATAGTAGATGGATCTATATAAAGAAAAAAATTGCCTGCCTGTTCCCAACCTTCATATGTGTCTTCTATACTCCTCTCAAATGCAGTGAGCTCAGGCCAAGCACATCTTGCTGTTGCTGACTTCACTCCCAGGAGACTATCCCCAGGCCAGGAGAGCAAGCCTCTTGGCACCCTGAGTGTGAGGCTGTGTGCCTGGGCTTCTTCTGCCAGGGAGCTGAGCTGTAGGGTTTCAACCACTTAATTCCCATTAACCCCCGTGACATTTGATTGGTCATTGCTAGATTCCTACTTTTTCCTTCTTCAGATACTTTTCCTTGCCTCTTGCCCCTGTGTATTCTGGACCTGGGATGCCTCTATCTCTGGCCTGGTGTGAACATCCTGTTATCTGCACAGGTCCTTCCCAGCAGGGCAGACTCAGGCAGTACCAAACTCCTTGTGGCTTGATCTGGTTTGTTTCTGTCCTGTAAGAATGAGTCCCAGCACAAGAGTCCAGCTCATAGGTTTGTGGATATTATAGATCTGCCTCCCAAGCAGAGCATCTGACACTCGGACGTTTTTGATAAATTGGACATTTATTTTGTTTGCCAGTGTTCCATGTGGGGGACCTCCCTCTTTCCATCCCTTCCTTCCTTTTATTGCAGTGCTGGGAATCGAACCAGGGCTATTGTGTGCACATGTGAGGTGAGTGCTGCTTTACCAATAAGCACACCCTCAGCCTTCTTCTTAATCCAGAAGTTTACCAGGCCTGCCTCCTGAATCTTTATTCAAACCATTGTTTTTGTTGTTTGTCTTTCAAGGAGTTTTGATTGGAACAAGAGCTCAGTTTGGTGACATGGCTGTTTCTGCTGCTAGAAGGCAGCGTCCCTCAGAAGGGGACTCTGATAGCATGTTGGAGCTTGGATATTGAAGTGTTGTGGGCCATGAAATGTACATCACTAGAGTTTCTGTGTTTACTTCACCAGCATGTAGGGAGAAGTTTGTGATTGTCCCTGCTATCAAAACTACATGGATTTAAAGTAGAATGTGCAGAAAGGTGGGGAGGCCTCATGAATAAGTGAAGATGTCTGAGAGAGAGAGTTGGTATCGAGGGGACTTTGTGTTTAGAGAAGTATCAGGCTTCACCATGATCTCTGTGGGATTCTTTACTTTTCCCCGCTCCCTTCTCCCACACCCACACATTGGTATTTCCTTGGCATGGCCCCAGGTTCCATGGAGGAGGGGAGTTCTAGTATACCTGAATTTCATGAAACCTGAGCTGGCTTGATCACCTCCCACTCCTTATCTGACTATGGGCTAGCCACATCCTACTGGGCCTTGGTGCACAGCAGCTTCCATTTTGCTGATGGTCTGATCTGTAATTGGATTTTTCAGCCTGTTTCCTTGATTCAATGGCGACTCTGGGCCTGGCAGCATACGGCTATGGAATCCGTTATGAATTTGGGATTTTTAACCAGAAGATTGTCAATGGCTGGCAGGTAGGTGACATTGGTCTTTTCACTGGTTTCCAGTTCTTGTTCATACGTGGAAGTAAGCGGGTACATTTTCAGTGTAAATTTTATTGGTCTTCGCTCCCTGGAGAGACTTCAGGTCAGGCCTCTGCAGAGTGCAGTGGGAAGGTAGCCAGCTGCATAGTGTCATATGTTCTGTGGTACCTGGTGGCCCTGGCCAGGTTGGCCCCTTTGTGAGCCCTTGCAAATGGCTCCTGTGTGGTGAAAGGGAAGTCATGTGGGGCAGGACACAGAATCCCACCTGGAACTTACAAGGAGATGCCCGACAGGGCCACCTGCAACTGGGGGTTAGGATGCCTTAGGCTGCATGCTGTTTTCCCCAGCGGTGCCCAAACATGGGGCAGAAGGTAGTACTCTCAGAATTCATCCTGGTGGGCATTCTCATGTGATTAGTGGAGATGTGTGCTAATGTCTATAACTTACCTTGAAGCACATTCAAAAATGTATGAATTAATGGATGAAGTTGCAATAAATCAGTTATAGCAGAATATTAAAAATTACAGTGTTTTTAGATGGTGGGTGTGTAGGTATTCACCATTAAATCTTTTAACACTTTGAGGGGCTGGAGGTGTGGCTTAGTGGTAGAGTGTTTGCAAAGCCCTGGTGTTAATCCCTAGCGCCAAAATGAAATTTTTTTTTTTAGTTACTTAATACTTCAGAATTCATTCACTTGGCTGGGCATAGTGGTGCATGCCTCTAATCCCAGCAACTTGGGAGGCCTAGGCAGAAGGATTGCAAGTTGAAGCCAGCCTCATCAATTTGGTGAGTCCCTAAGCAACTTAGCTAGACCCTGTCTCAAAAAGGGTTGGAGATGTAGGTAGCTCAGTGGTAAAGTGCCCCAGTACCACCCCCCCCCCCAAAAAAATTCATTTACTGGTGTGTCAGATTAATTTATCCCATGACTTATAAGCAGAGTACATTTCATAGGGTGGTAGGAAAAGCAACTCCTACCAAATTGAAGGGCTAAATAGTGGGGCTACTTTTAATCTTATTGATGGGAATTTTCTTGCATCATTGTACTGATCATGGTGCCACTGAGCACAGTTTTTGGAACATAAGCTGCATTGAGGAAGGCCTAGTATAGAAGTGGATCTCAGGCCTTTCCACTACAAGCCTTTCAGGGTAACAGCTCAGCCCTTGGTACCTGTGTATTTGTGATATAATATACTTTCCTTTTTCATGGTTTAATTTTTAAAGCAGTAGTTTTTGGTGATTTCTTTTCTTCTTTTTTAAAATAACAGCTTTTTGAGATATAAAATAGATTGTGTGTGAGTGTGTGTTATTGGGGATTGAATCCAGGACCTCATACATGCTAGACACTGAGCTACATTCCCATGTTTTTATTTTATTTTGAGGCAGGGTTTAACTTTGTGGCCCAGACTGGCCTTTTTGCCTCAGTCTATCTAGTAGCTGGCATTACAGCTGTGCCACCATGTCTTGGATTCAGTAATGTGTGTTTGGGTTTTTGGGTTTTTTTTTTTTTTTGGTGGTACTGGAGTTTTAACCCAGGGGGCTGTACCATGAGCTACATTCCCAGCCTATTTTATTTTTTATTTTAAGACAGGGTTTTGCTAAGTTGCAGAGGTTGGCCTTGAACTTGTGATCTTCATGCTTCAGCCTCTCGAGCATCTGGGATTACAGGGATGAACCACAGCACCTGGTCATAATGGCAGTTTTTAGTATATTCAGAGTTGGGTAACCAGCACTACTGTTCATCTCCAGAACATTTTCATCACCCCAAAATGAAATCCTGCACTTATTTATAGTCACACCCAGTACCTGACAACCACTAATCTACTTTCTGTCTTGATGGATTGCCTGTTCTGGACATTCCCTGTAAGTGGAGCCATACAATATGTGGTCTTTTGTGACTGACTTCTTCCACTTCTGTCATTATTTTCAAGGTTTGACCATTTTGTATCGTGTCGATACTTCATTCAGGTTCTTAATGTCTTTTTTATCTGGATTTTTTTTTTTTCAGATTTTATATGAGTTTGTTACTTTAAGCAGTGCAAAATGTTTATTTTTAAGTGTGTGGGCTTGAGAGAAATTAGATATCTTTACTTATAAATTGTCCGTGGTTGTGTTTCAGTGTTGGGTACTGTGAGATCTCAGCACTATTGTGTGCCCAGGCTGAGCACAGGGCCGCCTAGCAATAGCCGGCTTGCCCACCTTTGAGAATGCCCCTCTCCATTGCTCCTCTAGGTTGAAGAGGCCGATGACTGGCTGCGCTACGGCAACCCCTGGGAGAAAGCCCGACCTGAGTATATGCTTCCAGTGCACTTCTATGGGAGAGTGGAGCACACCCCCGAGGGTGTGAAGTGGCTAGACACACAGGTATCAGGACCCAAAGCTCCCAAAGGAATAAGCTGCTGCCTAATGAAGGTGGCAACCCCACGGTTTGTTGTCGTTACCCTGACTTCATTTTAGGAGTGGAGGCTTGTGCTGGACTTAATGGTAAAAGTTTGGGGAGGTTTTAGTCTCCTCATCTTTTTACACTTTGACAGAAACTTTCTGTAGGGTGGAAAATGCTGCATGCAGCAAAGAGAGCCAGCAAGAATGGCTGGTGGCCTCAGCCCCAACACAGGGTATTCTTTCCTGTCTGTCAGTCAGCACTTCACTAACTCCTGTTGCTTAATGGCAATTAGAAACTTATCCTGATGGGGATAAGGGCATTGACCCCCTGATGGGCTGATGCAGATAGGTCCCTATCCACATTTATGTGTAGCACTGGCTATCTGCCCCACCTGCTGGTACCACATATGGTCACAGTTCTCAGTGGTTTTTGAAGCCATCATCTCTCTCTCTCTCTCTCTCTCTCTCTCTCTCTCTCTCTCTCTCTCTGTGTATGGGATGTCCCTCCAGGAAAAGGGGAGGCCAAAGAAGGAGGGGGGGGTCTCTTGCTGACTCAGCCCTGAGCATGTCTTCTGTCTGGTCAGGTGGTGCTCGCCATGCCCTACGACACTCCGGTGCCCGGCTACAAGAACAACACCGTCAACACCATGAGGCTCTGGTCTGCCAAGGCGCCCAATGACTTCAAGCTGCAAGACTGTATGTCCTGGCCAGTGGCCACTCTGATCTCTTGTCTCCATTTTGATGGATTGTCCCAAATGCTCATGCCTTTACAACTGCCATCCCTCTCTGCTGTGGAAGCTGCACAGCCCCTTCGGTTTCTGAAACATAACTGAGTGCACCTGAACCCCTTGCAGCTTCCCTGTGAGAATAGTGAAGGGTGGATTTCATACCAGGACCGAGTCAGCTGGGGTCATGGTCTTTCAGACTACATGTCCCTAGGAAAAGAGACATGTGCAGTGTTGATGTGCAGTGGGTATGGGGTGCTGTGGGAGGAGGCTTTTCATCCTTTGGGGCAAGGGTGAGCATCTCGGGGCTTCCTGCTAAGGTCACACTTCCTCAACCTTCTCCATTAAGCAGCTGAGCAACTACAGTGCTTGCACTTGACAAAACCCTGCCCTGCAGGGGACTGAGAGAGGCACACACTGAAAGAGCTCTGTCTTTTTTTTAGTCAATGTGGGGGACTATGTGGAGGCTGTTCTGGACAGGAACTTGGCTGAGAACATCTCCAGGGTCCTGTATCCTAATGACAATGTGAGTATCCTAATGACTAATGTGTGTGACCTCTGTTGGATAGACTTCTTAAATGCAGATAAATGAGCTGAAGACTGGACCCTCCAGCATATCCTGTTGCTAAACTTAGATAAGCTTGTGAGGTGAGGCTGTGTATGTGGCCATCCGTGTCCCACCTATCTCTGGTACGTGCCCAGATGACTCATCTGAGGAAAAGGACAGGTGTCCTCTGTCCAGTCCAGAAAGTCCAGACAAGACTACTGCATTGTTCCTTTGCCCAGATTCACTTAAAAGAAGCCTTCCAGAGGCTTTTCAACTCTCTCTTATCTATACTCCTATGAAACACACTTAACGAGGTCTGGGTAGACTCCTTGCGATACAGACACCAGGCCAGCTGGTGTCTACTCTTCTAGTGTGTGACATAGCTCCCTAAGGGTTAGATGGTCCATATTTCCCCTGGGGACAGCAGCACCTATTTTGCAGAGGTATATCTGACACTTGGTAGGGTCTTATCACATGCCCTTCATGTGTTAGATGGTGGTCACAATCAGATTCTTTGCTGCCACCTGAATGTAGCATAATGGCTTATTGTTGTCAATGTTGTCAGGCAAGAGTCCTTGAGGGGATGTAGCTCTGTGGTAGAACATACGCTTAGCATGTACAAGACCCAAGGTTGATTCCTCAGTATCAAAACAGTCATTGAAATTTACCTATCTTGGGGCTAGGGATGTGGCTCAAGTGGTAGTGCGCTGGCCTGGCATGCACAAGGCACTGGGTTGGATCCTCAGCACCACATAAAAATAAATAAAGATATTATGTCCACCTAAAACAAAAAACAATATATTAAAAAAAATTTACCTATCTTAGTTGGTCATACATTTTCTTTCTTTTTCAGTACTGGGGGCTGAACTTAGGGCCACCCTCCCACTGAGCTACATCTCTAACCCTTTTGTTTTTTATTTTGAGACAAGGCCTTGCCAAGTTGTCAAGGCAGGCCTTAAACTTGCAATCCTCTTGCCTCAGCCTCCTGAGTTACTGGTATTATAGGCCTCTGTCCCTGTGCCTGGCTGGTCTTGCCTTTTTTTAAATGAATGTTTTATTTTATCAAAGCAATCTGTGTGCATAGTAGCAAAGGCATTGGTACAGAAAGAGCTTGTAATCCTTTCCAATCCACAGACTTGGCCCCCATGAGACTTTAAGGACTTCTGAAATGTCAAGTGCAGAGTGTTTCTTAATGCATACACGTTGGAACTGTGGTTTCTGAAAGCTCTGGCACCCCTCATAATTTGGCCCTTTTGCTATTGATGGAATGGACATTTTGTGTCCTGGTATGTGTTGCACAGTTGCGTGACCCTGTGCCGCCTGCCCTTCAAGCCCTCCCTGTTTGAAGGTGTACATGTTGGCCTGGGTGTCAGGCAGGTAGGCTATTTGAGACATTTGCCTATGCCCTTGAGCTGGACCTTGTGGCCTGGGTTTCTGTGGGGATAAGTGTTGCCCCAGGATTTGGGGGCAAGTGGGATATGCAGGACACCTCCCAGCTTGGCACCCTCTAGCCTGTCCTGATCCCACTGGCTGTGGTTGGCCTCATGATGGTGAGTGGCAGATGCACAGCAGCTCTGTGTTGTTAGTTCTTTGAGGGGAAGGAGCTCCGCCTGAAGCAGGAGTACTTTGTGGTGGCTGCCACCCTGCAGGACATCATTCGCCGCTTTAAGTCATCCAAGTTTGGCTGCCGGGATCCAGTGAGAACCTCTTTTGAGACCTTCCCAGACAAGGTTTGTGATCTATGGGATGAGAGCTTAATGCCAGGACAGGAGGATCTCAGGCTCTTGAAGTTTCTTCTTCTTGTCCTTGGAGGGGGCTGGAGCAGATTGGTAGTGTTAGGGTCTCATCATCCCGGGTCAGGACTGCACTGGGCATTGTTAGGAGTTGAGGAGGGAAGGACACCAAAAGGCTCCTATGGCAGGCCAAGGGCAGCTGTTTTAAACAGCAGTGTCATAGCCTAGTGAAGAGAAATTCCTTGTGGGAGGCAGGCCACAGACCCTGCAGCTCCTTTCACACTTGCCCCAGTGTATAGCTGCCTGCAGGGCACTGCTGGCCTCAGAGCGTCAGTGTCCCCTGGCTTTTTCTGAGGCCTCTCTGAGTTCAAACTCTAGGGGTGGGTTGCTCTGTGGGCACCTTCACTCCCTGGGCTGTACTTAACTGACCAGTGTGGGCACACTTATGTGACTAGGCACCCTAATGACACTCCTCATGGGAACTGCAGGTGGCCATCCAGCTGAATGACACCCACCCGGCCCTCTCCATTCCTGAACTCATGCGGATCCTGGTGGACGTGGAAAAGGTGGACTGGGACAAAGTGAGTGTCTCATGAGAAGAAGGGAAGATGGTGTCCTCCCCAGTCCAGGGCTTGGGGCGATAGCAACCTGTCAAAACCGAATGTGTGATGACAGTGTCCTCCCCAGACCAGAACAGGAGTGAGTGTCCTCTGTAGAGCTCTAGACTGTGCCATCTATGGCATTAAACGGCTGAGCTAGTCCTGGGAAGTGGGGGCTCTCTTCCCAGCCTCAGGGGACTTGGGGACATCACCTGTGAGAGCACCAGGGCTGTGGGAAAGGGTCTGGCTCCAGGATATGGATATTTTTGGGGATGGGGACAGAACAGATGAGGACAGGATTCTAACACTTTTTAGGGCTTCTTATAGGAGTTTTCTCATCTTGAAGTTTGGCAAAAAAAAAAACCAAAAACAAAACCAAAAAAACCTAGAAGTTTTAAGTTTTCGTATTTATAGATTTATTCTCATGGCTCAATTTACTTTGATCATAGATTCTTTGGTGTAGCAGGATTTTCTTAATTGAGCTTTAACTAAATCAACATAGATGAAACCCTAAGGTAATTTCTTTTTTAAACTCTGTTTCTGGTCTTGGGGTATGTGAGGCTGCAGCCTTGTCAAAGGTCCCCTTCATTCCTGGCCAGTAGCAGGCAGAGCCACATGATACCATTGTCCCACACTGTGTGTGTCAGATCAGTTTAGAGGAAATAAATGAAAAACTGCTTATCAGTCTGTTAGTTTGCCAATAAAAAAGGAAAATTAAAAGGGAATTCCCCAGGAGCAGGGTCAGTGTTATTCATTTACATGGGTGTCTACAAATGTTAGGCTGTAAAGCTTCAACAAAGTGAGGAGTCTGGGCTGAACTGCACACTTGGAGAAGCTCCAGACCAGCCCTATAAAGCAGACTATCACCTTGCCCACGAATCTGCTTCTAAATAAGATAAAAACACCATTCTCAAATGGTCTAGGCCTGGGAAATCACCAAGAGGACCTGTGCCTACACCAACCACACTGTGCTGCCTGAGGCCTTGGAGCGCTGGCCTGTCTCCATGTTTGAGAAGCTACTGCCGAGGCACCTAGATATCATTTATGCCATCAATCAACGGCACCTGGATGTGAGTATCAGTCCTTGCTGGGGCAGGACATGGGGTGGATTGCAGGGTGTGGAGGGCTTCACCTAGGCCAATGGGCCCATCTGGCTTAGAAGAGGTACTACACTCCTTTGGGGCTGCAGACTGTCCCCTGGCAAAGCTGTTGGCTGACTCCACATAAATGACTCCTGCTGTGTATGTGGGAGTCACAGATTGGGGTCTTTATTTTTATTTTTTGGCACTAAGGATTTAACCCAAGGTTATTTTACCACTGAGCTAAACCCTAACCCTTTTTATTTTTATTTTGAGACAAGGTCTCACTAAGTTGTATAGGACCTCCCTAAGTTGTTGAGACTGACCATGAATTTGCCCGCCTCAGCATCCCAAGTTGCTGGGATAAGAGGCCACCATACCCAGCATAGATCTGGATCTTTTTTTTTCTTTTTTTTTTTTAAAATCTCCACTCTAAGCAAGCTCTGTTCTCTTCCTGGATGTCCACTGGCCATCCTGGCAGCCTTGGGGTGATTCAGAGAAAGAGCACAGCCTGTCCTTCCCATGTGACCTGCAGAGAGCAGCTGTCCAGCTAATGATAATATAGATGAATGCTGCCTAGGTTAATAGGGTTAGTGTCTCAGCCTCCTTTTGGGAAATTGAATGGCATTTCACCTGCTGGTGTCCTGTCCTCCTCAGACAGCATATCTCTGTGATCTCAGGCTGGGACTTTCCTGCATGATTGTCTTCCTAGAGTTAGGGCCCTTGTGAGGTGCATCTGAGGCATGTTCTGGGGTGCCTTTAGGGTCTAGGTCTGGGCACAGCAGCCCCTGGACTTTCTTAGAGGTGGTGGAACTTCTCACAGGCATGGTGGGCTGTTGCCTGGTCATTGGGGAGTTACCGGGTCACAGTGGGCTCTCTGTTTTTGGCCTTAGCATGTGGCTGCCCTGTTTCCTGGGGATGTGGACCGCCTGAGGAGGATGTCTGTGATCGAGGAAGGGGACTGCAAGCGAATTAACATGGCCCATCTGTGTGTGATTGGATCCCACGCTGTGAATGGTGTAGCGAGGATTCACTCAGAGATCGTGAAGCAGTCTGTGTGAGTAAACTGCCTCCCCAACCAAGGATGGTTCCTTTCCAGAACCCAGATCCTCCCTTAGAACTGGCTGCCATATATACCACAACCAAGTTGCATCACATACCCCATGCTACTGACTTGTGGGAATGACAGAGCCACTGAGAATCACCACCGCACCTCTCATCAGCAGGTTTGCACTTGATTTGATGGGTGATGTCTGAGATGTGGCTTTTTATGGCACCATGAAAAGTCCCTCCTCCTATGCTTCCAGTCTTAGGCATTTCAGCTGGAGACTCAGAGCTTCTGGTCTTTCTGCTTTTGGCTGAGTGCCACTGATGCCCCACCAGGGGCCACATGTGCAAGTGGAAGTCAGGGGCCTAATAGGATCTAGGAATTCCTTCCTTTCATTCTGTCATGAGATGCTTGTTGAGTATCTACTGTGAGGGCTAGGTTGGTCATCCGAGGGTGGAAGGAGCCCTCAACCATGTCAGTCCAGGTGAAGGACCTTCTGTGTTTTGTCTGGCCCAGGGGCTTTCGCTTAATCACCATGGCAGATTTCTTTTTTTGTTTTTCATACAGGGAATTGAACCTAGGAGTGCTTTGCCACCAAGCTGTATTCCCAACCCTTTTTATTTCTAGATTTTCTTGTTGTTTTTTTTTCATTACTGAGGATCAAAGCCAGAATCTTGTGCCTGCTAGGCAAGTGCTCTACTATTGAGCCACATTCCCAGCCCTTTTTATTTAATTTTTTTAAAAATTTTGAGATAGTGTCTTACTAACTGGCCTCAAAATTGTGATCCTCCTGCTTCAGGCTTTTGAATTGTTGAGATTACAGATGTATGTCTCTGTACCTGGCCCATAGCAAACTTCAGAGTTAGATATGTCTCTCAACTTACAAATGGGGAAATAGCCCAATTTCTTTTTTTTTTTTTATTGGTTGTTCAAAACATTACAAAGCTCATGACATATCATCTTCCATACATTTGATTCAAGTGGGTTATGAACTCCCATTTTTTACCCCAAATATAAGTTGCAGAATCACATGGGTTACACATCCATGTTTTTGCATAATGCCATATTAGTGACTGTTGTATTCTGCTACCTTTCCTATCCCCTACTATCCCCCTTCCCCTTCCCTCTCATCTTCCCTCTCTACCCCATCTGCTGTTGTTTAATTCTCTCCCTTGTTTTTTTTTCCCCTTTCCCCTCACAAACTCTTATATGTAATTTTGTGTAACATTGAGGGTCTCCTTCCATTTCCATACAGTTTCCCTTCTCTCTCCCTTTCTCTCCCCCCACTCATCTCTGTTTAATGTTAATCTTTTCCTCATGCTCTTCTTCCCTGTTCTGATCTTAGTTGCTCTCTTTATATCAAAGAAGACATTTGGCATTTGTTTTTTAAGGATTGGCTAGCTTCACTTAGCATAATCTGCTCTAATGCCATCCATTTCCCTGCAAAATCCATGATTTTGTTGTTTTTTTTTTAGTGCTGCGTAATACTCCATTGTGTATAAATGCCACAGTTTTTAATCCATTCATCTACCCAATTTCTGAAAGACTAAAGTCTATTCAGTATCCACTGCTATGACCTGGACCCTGCTTCCCCATAGACATCTCTGGAAAATGGCCAAGGTTTTTTTTTTTTTTTTTTTTTTGAGAAAAAGGAAAAAGAAGATTTATTGCTTTGCTAGCAAAGGAGAAACACAGGGAACTGCTGTCCTAAAGGCTGTAATTCTGAAAATGGCCAAGTTTTAGTATGTGGGAGGCTATAGCTAGCACTAGACCTCACATATGGCAGATACACATTCCCTTCATGCTAGTCCCAAAATGCACAGGGATGCTAGTTGCTGTGTACATTTCAGGAAATAGTCAAATTGAGCTTCAGGATCTCCCCAAAAGGTTCTTATGTTCTTTTGCTCACCTAGTTCAAAACACAGCATTTTTGACGATTCCTTATTTTCTATTTGTAGCTTTAAGGATTTTTATGAGCTGGAACCAGAGAAATTCCAGAATAAGACAAATGGCATTACACCTAGACGGTGGCTGTTGCTGTGCAACCCGGGTCTGGCAGACATCATTGTGGAGGTGAGCACCGAGTGTTGCCTTATCCTGTGGGGACACCAGGTCTGAGACCATGAAAAAACCACGAGTTAGAAGGTGCAGTTGACACCAGGCAGGGTCATCAGGCCTGTTTGCTGAACCAGTGGGAATTTGTGTCCTTACATATTGACCAGCAGTGGGCCCTGGACATGAGCAGGCGAGGCCTGTGAGCACAGGTGCACTGGTGCAGCTCTAGCCCTATGTGTGAGTTTGGAAGCCTATCTGGGAAGGCTGAGGGAAAGGAAAGGCCTCTTGATGAAGTGGGAGCTGACTGTGGTGGGCAAGGTTTTAAGCCAGAGACCTGGCAGGTTATTTACTTATTCACGTGCTCTCAGATACCAGGCCCTGTGCCGTCTGTGCCCTTGAAGAGCAGAGTATCCTAAGGCTGCCTTGGGGACACTGCATGCCTGGAGTGCTAGAGTCAAGAGGGGCTTCCCTGAGATGTTGGGAGCTGGAAACAGTGCTGGCAAGACCAGAACAGAAGGCAGATCTGGTCTAGTACTAGGTCCCCTCAAGGGTCTGGAAGGCCAGTATGGCTTCCATACAGGATGAGGCTGGGAAGAGTGAGGAGAGGCTAGTAAGTAAGTAAGAGGGTCCTCAATGAGATTGTTTTGAAGTGACTGCCTACCATAGTGAGAAAGAGAGGGAGATGGCACCCACTTTGTTCATGGTGATGGAGGAATGGGAGGAGGACTTAGTCCCACTAGCCCCAAATATCAGGCTGTAATAGGTTGTCCCAAGTATTGGGGACTGAAGGAAGTTCATGAGTTTGTTATGGATGACTGGGTTGATAGGACTTGGACATCCTGGTGGAGCCATTGAGGGGTGAGCTCAGGCCTGATTTAGGAGGACAGGGCCCTGGTGGCCATGTGGACATAGGGTACAAGTTGCCCTGAGAAGGGGATGTTGTGAGGGCCCAGAGGGGCAGGAAGAACCAGGGAAAGCAGGCATGGGGTAACAGGCAGAGGGCAAGCTCACAGAGACTAGGGCTGCAGTGAACAGAAGCCATATGTTTTTCCAGAGAATTGGGGAAGGCTTTCTGACCGACTTGAGCCAACTGAAGAAGCTGCTGCCATTGGTCAGTGATGAGGTGTTCATCAGGGATGTGGCCAAGGTCAAGCAGGTAGGTTCATGTGGCCCTGCAGCCTATCTTCCTGAGGCCCAGCATGTTGAGTTTGTATGGACCCATCCAGCACTTTGGAAAGGCCCCCAAAGGTCTGGGTTACACTCAGCCTTCCAGATGAGGGCTTGTTTAACCTCAGGTAATGCAGTGGGTGGGAGTGTGCAGACCCCCAAGACATCTCTGACTTCACCTTGCTCTGCCATTATAGTAGCAGGTATATACAGAAGCCTTTTTTGAAAGCTGATTGCAGCGTAATTCCATTTCTGAGCAGTGGCTGGAGCTTCCCAATCTTGGCAGGAGCTAAGAGTGTTCTCACAGCATGGTGCAGGGTCGGAATCATGGGTCTGCATGTTTATCCTGCTCATGACATTGTCTTATAAGCCCCAAACAATCCTCCACTTCCTATGAAAATTCATAGGAAGTTTCTCACTTCCTATGCCTTATCCCTCCATTTTCTTTTTCTGACTACAGATCACATTCTGAGTGTCCTTTACTCTGTTTTCTCCTTATGCTTAGCTCTAGGCTGCTATTCCGTTAGGTTTTCATGTATTTCTTCCCCACTTTATCCTGTACACTCATTTTCAGTGTCACCCTTGTTCTCCAGTGTCATCAGTGCCTCCAGGTCTGGTCTCTGGACCTATCATCCCCTCTCTGACAATTTCTCTTTTAGTTGTAGTTGGACACAATACCTTTATTTATCTATATGTGGTGCTGAGGATTGAACCCAGGGCCTCACACGTTCTAGGCTAGCGCTCTACTGCTGAACCACAACCTCAGCTCCTCTCTGACAATTTCTAACCTGTCCAAGATGTTCTCTGGGATTGGGTGGAAAGCTGGAATATATGGGACCTTGGGAGCTCACCCATCCTTCACTTTCCTTCTTTCCAGGAAAACAAACTGAAGTTCTCTGCCCTCCTAGAGAAGGAATACAAGGTTAAGATCAACCCGTCTTCCATGTTTGATGTGCATGTGAAGAGGATCCATGAGTACAAACGGCAGCTGCTTAACTGCCTGCACATCATCACACTGTACAACCGTGAGTATGGGTCCCTGGGTGCCTCCTGGCTTCCCTTGTGTGGTTCTAGGTGGCATCCCTCCCTCAAGACCAAGGCTGGCTCAAGACTTGTCTTGCCCACCAGCTTATCTTTGGACCCCTGGCCTTTCTCACACAGAATGTATGTGTGTGAGTGATGTGACACATTTATTTTGAGCAATGGCTGTATGCTTTACAGTGTGCTCAGTGCCAGAGTCTTAGGTACATAAATGGGTAAGCATTTAAAGGCTCTGTGGGTTTTGAGACCTTGGTGGAGGCAAGGAATAGTCTTCACCAAGGCAAGGTTTGGGGTTCAGATTAGCTTTCATTTTAAGATTAGTTATTATTTCTGTAAGATTCATCTTGTTTGGAAATACTGTGCTCATCAGAGACATTTAATATCTACTTATAAAAAAGAGTAATATAGGTTCATTTTATATATATACATATATATACACACACACACACACATGCACATACTTATATTGTTTTTGGATATTTTTTTATCTGCTTGCTTATTTATTTATTTACCTATGTTTTGTGGTACTGGGGTTTGAACCCAGGGATGCTCTACTACCAAGCTATAGCCCCATCCCTTTTTATTTCTTATTTTGAGTCTTGCTAAGTTGCTGAGGCAGGTCTTAAACTTACAATCCTCCTGCCTCAGCCTCCCAAGTTGCTGGGATTGTATATGTACCACTGTGCCCAGAATAACATGTTTTAAAAGTGTGTACTCCTTACATACAAGGGTCATTTACACTGACCAAAGCCAAACAAGATCCTGGGTTAGGCTTTTCTGGAAGTGTAGTGCAGCTTTTCTTCTGAGCCCTTAGGAAGAACATCTTTCCTTGGTTTGCTACACGGTTAGTTGTCAGTGTTTTTGATGGCTCTCCTCACCAACTGGGAATGAAGTGCAGACATAGGGGTGGCCTTGTCCTCCTGTAAGTGGCAGGTTCCTAAGCAGGCATGTGGTGGGGGGCCATGACCATTTGCCACTGCTACCTACCTGTGCCTCTTAGGCTAAAGTGGACACCTAGCCAAACCTGCCTGTCCAGCCTCTAGAGAAGTCTCTGAGGTTGCTAGATCACTGTGGCTTGCTGGGAAGGGACTTTTTGGTTTAAAGTTGCCTCACTTGAATCTCATTTATTTGTTCTGCAGGAATAAAGAAAGACCCAGCCAAGTCCTTTGTGCCCAGGACTGTGATGATTGGGGGCAAGGTGATATGACTTTCTCTTCACTCCTTTTTTGATATTTTGGCCCAGGATGCACACACTCCCCCTCTGGTTGATGGCAGCTTGCCTACTTCAAAGCCAGGTGCCTGCATTGCACACAGAGTGCCAGTGGGTTCCCAGTCCTGCAGAGGTGCTTATGAGAGCAAGGGGCACATTTAGACTCAGTTGAATAAGAGGGAATTAGATGGGAACCTGACTGCTCAGATCCTTAGCCCCAAGGACCAGTCTCAGTGGACCCCATCAGAAGATGTGGTACCCTTTCTCTGTGTTCCCATAGAATCTCATGGCTACTTGTGGTCAGAGGAATATAAGATAAGTGTAACTGCTACTTCTGTCACATGTAAGGCCATTCTGAGCTCAGCATGTGTTCATTTAATTCTCTTTACTGTAACACATGCTTGAGTACTAGACACAGTGTCACCACAGCATCATACTTGGCCAGTATCCTGGTCTTCTTCATCAGAAGATATGGGCTGCGGGGTGCAGCTTCTTTGTGAGATACTGCCCTGGGTCAGCCTTCCATGGTGCATCTGCAGTTTGCACTCTTGCTGACAGTATGGCTGGGGTGTGTGATGCACATGCAGGTACCTGTCCTTGTTCTGCAAGCCTTTCCTTTAACTTCAGCATCTGCAGAGGTAACTCAAGGGGACAGGGCACCTGCTCAGGCTCAGCAGTTGGTAACCTCACCTTGTTTGGTCTTTGCTCACCCCATCACCTGGTATTTTTGAATCAAATTATTTGGATATCATGTTGTTTGTTATTATTTTAGTTTGTAAGGTCCATAATGACATGGACTTTTAAAAAAATTTTTATCCTCTTGCCTCTGCCTCTTGAGTTGCTGGTAGTAAGGACATGTGCTACTCCCCTGGCTGAAGTTGTTATTATTTATAATATTATTACTTTTTGGGTCCTGAGGATCAAATCCAGGGCCTTGCTTGCACATGTTAGGCAAGGACTCTTCCATTGAGCCATACCCACAGCCTCAAAAATATTTTTAACTGTTTGAATTAGACCCCAGGGGGGTCTAATGTCCTCACATTGATTGATAAGTCTTTTAATTTTCCTTAATCAGTAGGCTTTCCTTCTATGTCTTCCGCTCCCTAAGATGTTTGTTATTGTCTGTGATCCTAGGCTGGCTTTTTCTGAATGTATTCCCCCGTTTTGTTCCAGTATATTCTTTAATTTTCTCTCTTTCCTTTAAATTGATAGGTCCAGAAGTCTATGTTTCTTTTATCTTATAATTTCTGAAACACTGGACTCAGATAGACTTGAGGCTGAAAGATTTCACAAGTGAAATCTGAGGACTCATGAGAAGTGCTGGATAGAAGCTGAAACCTCTGCAGAGTCAGCCTTTTCCCTTTCCTTGACCCCAGTTGGGGTTATGCTATAGGGTGTGACCTCTGTGTATCTATTGGCCAAACCAAAGCTGGCTTCTGAGGATCGGTGTTCACCCTCTTATAAACCCATAAGTCCAGTAGTGTTGCCAGATGCTCCAAGGACCCTTCTTGGACCCAGAGCAAAGCTTAAACCTCCTTAACTTTCTCCCCAAACCCTTTTCTAGGCAGCTCCCGGGTACCACATGGCCAAGATGATCATCAAGTTGGTCACATCCATCGGTGATGTCGTCAATCATGATCCAGTTGTGGGTGACAGGCTCAAAGTGATCTTCTTGGAGAATTACCGTGTGTCTTTGGCTGAGAAAGGTAACCCTGGATGCCTCCACTGGTTGGAGACTTGCTCCTGTCTGGGCCTGTTGGGGGGCAGTGCTGGCCAGGACCATTCCCAACGTCAGGCAGCCTCACTCTGTCCTGGAGACTCGGGTCCCACCTAGCCTGGGCAGGGCTGCAGACTAGCAGTGAAAGACTTCAGAGAATGCCCTCTTATGTCATGAAGCATCTGAAGCATGCCTGAGAAGGCACCTTTGTGTATCTTAGGTGGAATTACTCAGGCTCAGAGGAGGTCCAGAGAGCAAAGCTTTGAACATCCTTGCTCTCTGAACCTTATTGTCCTGCGTGGTCTCATTGTTCCCTACTTTCCTCTCTCCTGCCTCTCAGCCAGGCCTGCTGCTTCTGTGCCCTCCTGTTGGCAGCACACATATCTGGCCAGTGGCTTCTCTCCCCTCTCTTCCCCTCCCCTCCCTTCCCCTGTCTTGTTCACCACCACCTGCTTGCTTTCCAAGTGCACTGCTAATTTCTCATGTACCAGCACCTGCCTCTCATGTCCTGTCTGGGGGTAGCTTGGAACTTGACATTTAGTTTGGGTCTGCTCTATCTTGGCTGGTTCTGGGGAGAACCACCAGGATGTCAGCATGTCCATTTTGAGCTGGATGCCCCTATCTTGGCAAGAAAGTGATTTGCATAACCAGAAAGAAGGTGGGGAATCTGAGCCTTGAATTCCCACACTCCCTTCCTGCCACTAAGGTTGTGGCAATAAAGACTGCAGGCTAATCTGCTAAAATGTGAGCTCAGGCTGGTCTACCAGAGCTGGCCCGATGGTCTGGCTGCTGCCTGGAATTGTTCCTACTTCATTTGGCTGTCACTTGGTGCTTGAGTGTCTTCCAGTCTTGTTCAAGGGACTGGAAACTTTGATGATGTTGGTTAGTCCTTCCTGGAACTTCTTTAAAAAAAAAAAAAAAAGTGTGTGTGTGTGTGTGTGTGTGTGTGTGTGTGTGTGTGTGTGTGTAAGTTGTAGATGGACACAATACTCTTTCTCTTATTTATTTTTTATGTGGTGCTGAGGATCGAACCCGGTACCTCCATGTGCTAGGCAAGTGCTCTACCACTGAGCTCCAACATCCTGAGACTTCTAACTAAAATGTCTTGCTGTCCTTCCTGCTCTCTGGAAGCCCCTCTTCACCTTTATTTTGAGACCAATTGACTACTGCTTATTTTTAGAACTGGCCATGGGGGCACCAGTCTGGGGCCTCAGTGCTGGGGTCTAGATTCCTCACGGTTTTTCCTGGTTCCTTGGATGTGCCACAGCAACACCTAGCTGTTACAAGCTGTGCTGCTGTGCCACAGTGCTGGGGGCTGGGGATGCCTTTTCCTTTTTATCCTGATACCTTGGCTTGGCCTTCATCTCTTTAGAGCTCCTGCTGCCCTGCTACTCTATCACCTTTCTTCCCTTCCTGAGGAGGGGCTGGGCTCTGGTGCTGGCTGGGCTGAGGAAGCACTGGCAGCTGTGGCACTAGTTAAGGACCAACACTGAGATCAAGGTGTCCAGCCAGGGTATGTTCCTTGGCAGTGACCTGTGCTGTTTCTAGCCTGCCACCTTATGAGCACAGGAAGCCTGAGTTTGGGAGAAACCATGAAACTGCAGCATCTGGCTGGGTATTTGTGCCTACTCTGTGCATACTCAGTAATTCCCATGCACATGAACTTTAAGAATTACTTTCAGCCTTTCCAGTCCTCTGGTTCTACAGGAGTCCAGGTTCCTCCTGAAATGATCCAAAGAGCCTTCTGGGATGATTAAGATGTCAATGTCATGGGAATGAAGGAAACATATTATCAGCAATTCAGGACTGGGCACCCACTTCACTTGTCCCTGGAAAGTTCCCGAACAAGAATCCTATGCTACTTGTGGGACTTTTCAGGGGTTTTCATCTTGGGCCCTTTGCCTTAGGCTCCTCCAGTCAAGAAGGGGTGGGGAGCCCTGTGGAGGCCAGTGGCCACTTTGGTACTAGGTGGTTGATGGCTGCCTGGTCTCTTGGTCCCCCTGGTCCTGGAGTGACTGTGGTGAGCCCAGCAGCCTCAGGATGGAAGTTTCCCATCCTAGGATCTCCTGCTGATGGGGTTGGGAGGAGGGAGTGTGGTGTGAGAAAAATGAAACAAAAGGGCCTGGGGCTGACCTGCCTCCCGTTCATTGTAGTGATTCCAGCTGCTGACCTGTCACAGCAGATCTCCACCGCGGGCACTGAGGCCTCAGGCACAGGCAACATGAAGTTCATGCTGAATGGGGCACTCACCATCGGCACCATGGATGGTGCCAATGTGGAAATGGCTGAGGAGGCTGGGATTGAGAACCTCTTCATCTTTGGCCTTCGGGTGGAGGACGTCGAGGCCCTGGACCAGAAAGGGTGCAAGTCCCTGCATGTGGAAGCTTTGGGGGAGGGAGGACATGGAGGGCAACTGGGTCTAGGGGCTAAGGCTGGGCAGGGGTTTGTTACCCCACGGCTGTGGGAAAACTGGAATCACCAGTCTCTTCATAAGCCCAAAGCATCTGGATCCTAGCTAGGCCATCCCTGTGCTTGTCTCCATGGCAGAGTCCACGGAGTCCAGATCAAGGGCTCCTCTTCCAGGAAAGGTTTTTATAAGTCACTGTTAGGGCAGGGTCTCTTAGAGCGGCACTCTTAGCCAGGATGCAAGTAGGACAGTGCCCAAAGAATGTGGAAGCAAGTGGGCAGGCACCTCCATTGCTGAGAGCATTAGCCAATTGAGAGCACCTACCATTGAGGTTCATGGTCTAATTTGTAAATCATCTTTTTATTTTGAAATAGTTTTGGGTTTTCAGAAAACTTGTAAACACAGTAGAGAGAGCTCCTGTCTACCTCACTCCTGGTTTCTCCTGTTGTTACATCTTACTAATCAGTGTGGTGCATTGTCAAAATTAATTAACCTATAGTGGCACATTGTAAATTCTTAGTTCATGCCACATTGTGATTTTGCCAGCTTTTTCATGAATGCCCTTTTCTGCCCCAGGACCACATCCAGGGTACCCCATTGTGATTGGTCAGTTCTCCTCTAGTCTGTGACAAATTCTCAGTCTTTCTTTGTTTTTCATGATCTTGACATTCATGAGGAGTCATGGCCTCATTCTGAGGGCTAATTTAAAAGGAAAGTTATTGTTTTCTAGTTGCCTTTTGTAGCTCTTGGGAAATCAGTGAAGCCTTAGACAGCAGTTAGATGAAAGCCAAATGTCACCTTAAAACTCAGAACAGTGTCCTTGTCATCCAGAGAGCTCACAGGCCCACATAGAGTTTTCACCTGTCCCTCCCTCAGGTCTTCTGCACTGTCCTGCATCCTGGGACCTGCATGTTTTCATGTCCCCTTTGCCTCCCGGCCCCTCCCCCCAAATCACCTCCCAGCCCCGAGGTGGGTAGGGCTGGTTCTGTCTCATCTTGTCTGGTTTTATTTCCTCATCCTGGGGGCCAGCCAAAGGTGATCTAACAGGGCAGCCTGTTTTTAAAAGCTCTGCCCAGGATTTCAGTGAGGCAAGTTTGTGAGCAACCTGGTGGTCTCTAGTAGAAATGATGTGAGCTGTGCATGTAATTGTACATCTCCTGGGAGCTGTATTTCTTTGAATAATAGAGGGAGCTGGTGGAATTGACTTTAGGCTTATAGGTTATCACTACTTGAACCACATGTGTCTCAAGGGCCTGGTAGCCGCAAGTGGTTAGTTGTTGATGACCCGGATCTCCAGGGCCAACCTGGGACAGGAACTATACTAGGCACAACATGTCTCCACCACTTGTCCCCTAGAGGTTCCCACTTGGGGGACACTAGGCATTGATGTCCTCTTCTTCCTGCAGGTACAATGCCAGAGAGTACTATGAGCGCCTGCCGGAACTGAAGCAGGCCATGGACCAGATCAGCAGTGGCTTCTTTTCTCCTAAGGACCCACACTGCTTCAAAGATGTGGTCAACATGCTAATGTACCATGACAGGTGGGACACACCCTCTTGTCTGTTTTGGCTTCCCTAGTTAGCTGTCCATCAGTTCCCACTTTTGGGACAGTTGGAACCTCCTGGAGAATAGGGAAAGTTCACATTTGTGACATGATACTCTCTCCCCCTCAGCCCACAAGACCTTATGGCCAGCTGGGAGAATCACAGCTAAAAATAAGGGTGGGAGGTTGTGGGAGCCTATGTCAATGCCTTGGGGGACCCCAGCAGTAGGAGACAGGCTACTGTCTACACAGGCTACTCTTGTGTTGACAGCCTCAACACAAGAGCAAGAGGCTGGAGGAGGTGTCCCTGGGCATCAGATACGGTTGTGTTCTCAGGAGGCCAGTAGAGGGCAGTGGGGGAGCATAGGCAGAATGCCCCTGAACCAGCAGGGAGGTGATTGGGAGGGTGGTGGAACTGTGGCTCTCAGGACACACCATAGTTAAAATAGAACTTGCTTGTGACATCATAAAGTTATAATGAGGCTGGCATTTTATCACAGTGCAATGAACACATGGCTGTAAAAGATGTACAATCATATAACCGGTTAACTGATTGATACTATTTCTGTCTTATGGCAGTTTTTTGCTAGTGAAAGTTGAATCTGATCAATCCCTGGAATTAACCTCTCTGCTGCTTTCCAAGTCTTTTACTTAGTTTTGGTTTTGCTCTTTGAGGACACTTTTATCCACCAGCTTCAGTCAGACTAGATCATGAGCAGTTGATGTGTGGGTAGAAGCTAGACCCTGCTGAGATGTGAGGAAGGAAGGAGGGTCCTTTTTTTTTTTTTTTGAGACAGGGTCTTGCTGAATTGGCTGAGGCTGACCTCAAACTTGGTATTGTCCTGTCTCAGCCTCCCGAGTCACTGGTTTTACAGACATGTGTCACTGCACTAAGCAGGAAGGAATTTTAAAATTTGTGAATTGTGAATTTTATGAACTGTGCTTTTATTCTCAACAGTGAACAAAAGTGCATATCTATATTCATAAATTTGCATTTTTGTCTAGAATATCAGGGACCACAAGTAACCCTTTCCTCTGTCACCAATTCTCAGACTTGGAATAGATAGCTAAATGGCAGTGTCATTCATCAGGTGTGTCTTGGCCCTGGCAGTGAAATAGGCTGCTGCTTTGGGTCTGCACAGGATAATATGGGTGTGTGTAGCTCTAGTAGCCCTGTATGTGCTGGTAGGGCTGTAAACACCAGTTTCCTTAAAGGAATATTGGGTTGAAATAAGATTTTTTTATCAAATAGCATCTCCTGGACATAAATGTTGCTCATAGGGAAGCCCTATAGTCAGATGGATCTGGCACAGCCTAGCCCCACAAGTGGGGTGGCTTTTTCATTCCAGCCCCTAACAGAACTATAGGATGAGTGCTGGGCCAGGCAGGTGATTTCTGATCTCTGGCTGAGGGATTGTCCCCTAGGACCACATGGCAGGCTGCTCTGGGCAGGGCTTCTCACCCACTGCCATTTACCAGCCTGGCTCAGTGTCCTGTCCTAATTTCAGGTTCAAAGTGTTTGCAGACTATGAAGCCTACATGCAGTGCCAAGCCCAGGTGGACCAGTTGTACCGGGTAAGATTTGTGGGCTCCAGGGCCAGCTAGGTGGTTTGTTACAGACTTGCTGACTCAGATTTTTCATTTTCCAAACTGTGGAAGCAGGTTCTTGGCCAAAGCTGGAGGGGATTGGGGCTGTGATTTGTCTCTCATGTGCTCTGTCAGTCTCTAGGGCAACCCTGTCACTTCCTCTCTTGGGGAAACAGCTTTCATAGCTGAGAGTAGGAACATGGGACTTGGAAACTGAGTTCCCTAGTGGGGCTCTTGGAGGAACCCTTTTCCCTCAATTTGGAATGGCTTGGAAGAGTCAGGCCTTTCTGCAGAGACCCTACTGGTGCTAGGTATAATTTTGGGGCAGCTGTAAGGCTGTGATGGAAGATAGGAGATGGGTGAGGCCCAGGACAGAAGACTGCTTGACCATCTCCCGTGGACATTGGATCTACCTGTGGCAAGTGCTTACCCCTGCTGGTGTTTCTGTGCTATATATGTATGTGACGGGATACCCTTTCTTAGGCTTCTTGCCCCTTACATGTAGTCATTCGGTAGGAAGTCCCCTATTCTCTGAGCACATGAGTATAATATCTTCTTCCCAGGCTCATCTAGAAAACAGACCCGACATTCCAGAAGCTCAGGCTCTCTTGGGAGCTCTTGGCCCCAGCAAAGGTGCCAAAGATTAATCAGTCTTTCCCTCCCCCACAGAACCCCAAGGAGTGGACCAAGAAGGTCATCAAGAACATTGCCTGCTCTGGCAAGTTCTCCAGTGACCGGACTATTACTGAATATGCACGGGACATCTGGGGAGTGGAACCCTCCGACCTGCAGATCCCACCTCCCAATATCCCCAAGGACTAGGTGCCCTGTGAGCAGGACCAGCGGGCTTTTGTTTGGTTGATTTTGCACATCATGCCAGTTTTCAAGCACTTTGCCAGCAGCTAGTGGTTCCTGCTTTTCTCAGTGCTGGTTCTGGGAGGGGCTGTGGGGTCGAGAGGGTGTTTTTGAAGACGGGGGCAAGGAAGGAAGATGCTAGGAGTGGGGGACATCTTCCTGCTTTCCTCTAAAGGAAAGAATTCTCAGTACAGATGGGCAAAGCTGACCCCCATAGCTTCAGCCAACCATCCCCACAGAGGATAGGTAGGAGGTAGAGCCATCTCATGGGCTCCCTGAAAATTTGCACACATATTTAGTTTTGATCCTCTGGATTCTGGGGCTTGGGCAGGTGTCTGTGGTGAAGCTTGGGGACATGTATTTCCATAGAACCTGGGCAGGGCTAAGCCCAGTGTGGTCTCCTTGGCCAACTGTTTTCTATCCCTGTTGGGGAGTCAAATCCTTCAGGCATCATCCTCATGGCTGCCTGTCTTCTGATCCCTGTCCATGGCTCTTCACCTGGTATATGGGCTCTGCCTTTTGTAGTCATCTTGGGAGCCATGTGGGTGCCCTAGACTCAGGACATCTGGGAAGGAACATTGGGGAAGGACTTGTTTTGGTGTCTCAGAGGCATTGGTTAAGACAGGCTGGCTGAAGCAGGGTTAGCTTGGTTTTGCTTTTTCAAAAGAAAAATTACACAAGGAAATGAAACTAACCTCTTGTTTTAGCAACTAAAAATTGCACTTGGTCAATTTTGGGTCTGTAGGAGGCCATGCTAGGGCTGTTTTTGCCTGGCTGGAGGTAATAATCAGCCACTGTGCCCAGCAAGATTAGCTGCCTATCCTGTACTGGGGCCTGAGGCAGGGCTGCTGACTCTGCTGTGGATCTGTACCCTCCTGACACCTCCCATCCATATCTGGGGTGCATTTTTCTGTTGTACATACAAAGACTATTCTTCCCCTTCCACCAGTGCAGCATCCTGGTCTGCAAAAAGGAGCAGTGGACCCAGAGGACCTGTTTCCATTGTACTCATACAGTAGGCCTGGGAGGGAATTGAGGGTGAGCCCTCTCAGCCAAACCCCTCCTCAGGCTGGGGCTACGGGGCAGAACCTAGCACTAGTCTAGTGCTGCCCATCTCCAGTCAGTTGGTGGTTGGAGAAGTCAGATGGAAACACCCTTCCAAAGGCTTCCATACTTTGCATGCCGGACCTGAGGTGCCAGGGAAGGCTTTTCCCTCACCCCAGCTTTTCTGGGGAGGATTTGCTCACAGTGCACAGTTCCACCAGAACCACTGGGGTCTTTTTTTGGGTGGTGGCAAACTCTGGGGCTATGGTCATCTGCTGTGAGGCCACATTCCCTGAAGCTGTCTGTGGGTGGCCACAACCCTACCACTTGCTGTTACTGCTTGGTATGAGAAACTGATTAAACCTTTTTGCCCATGGTTAGTGGATGTTGTGTCTGTTTCACTCACTGCACACAACACTGTGAGGGTTCTATAGGAGGTGGGAGGGTGCAGGCCTGAGGCCAGGGTGATGACCTTGGCAGATGGGCTTCAGTTCTTTGTAACCTGTGCCAGTGCTGAATTATGGTTCCAGAATTATGTGTTCTGGTTTCAAAGACAAAGAGTTCTCATCCCCACCGTGTGGGACTTACCTGTTCTTTAAAAAGTCATCAAATCCAACCATGTGGAAACACTTTACTGGCAATAGAATGAAAGTATTTGCATTATTAGTGTGAATGTATTGGTCCCTCTCTGCACTTACTGCCTCTGCCACCAGTTCCTGGGCCTGGACACCAAATCATCTCCTGAATTGTATCTATAGCTGCAGAAAAAAATCAGGAGCTGTGTGCAGTGGCACCTCCTGAATTCCAAGCAATTCAGGAGGCTCAAGCAGGAGCATTGCTGGACCAGCCTCAACAACTTAGTGAGACCCTATTTCAAAAATTCAAAAAGAGCTATCAGGTGTAAAGCACCCATGTTCAATACCCAATATTAAAAAAAAAAAAAAAAAGAAAGGAAGGAAAAAACTATTGCAGGTTGATACAGTGCCATGGACTTCCTTGTTTTGGCATCTGGCAAGTTCTTCTCACAGTCTCACTTCTATCCCATGCTGTGGTCAGAGTGCCAAAATGAGTCTACTACAATTCCCAGGTTTGGGAGGCTGTCCTGAGATTCCTGGGGGTAAAGCAGCTGCACAGTGCTTTACCCCCAACATGTCACATCTCCTAGCTTCCTTTTCTTTTTTTTTCAAAGAAAGACTGGTCCTGATTGATCATTAAATGGTCTGAAACCCACAATGTAAGCTTTGTTGCTGTTTGTGGAAATTTTCATTTAACTGATAGATAATAGCAAAGCAGCTGCCAGCTCAGGGCTCCCTTACATTCCTTCTTTAGCTTGCCTGTCACACACTTGTAAAAAAAACCCATTTGTATTTTAAATGTTTTTCTACATCTTGTCTCATTTCCCCACCAATGAGTCTGAAGTAACTTGCAGAGACAGAAAAAGACTGGCCCAGGTAGAGGCACAGCAGTCACCTCTGCTAAGGTGTCAGGAACTTCAGTGTGAAACAGAGTCCATGGCCTGGATTTGCACTTCAGACTACCATTGCCTTATACAAGGGCTGCCTTGGTCTTGTGTGCACAGCTGTATTATAGTGCCTTGTAGGTCCCTGGCGTAAACCAGTTATGCAAAAAGGCTGTGAAAGGCAGGGCAAGTATCCCAGCTCTGAGGGCTGTGACTTGTAGTGGCAGTGCACTCAGATCCCGCTTTTGGGTGAGCTGTCCACAGGTGGCAGAAGACTGACCCTGGTTACATGCCAAGAGTCTTGTCAGGAAGAAGATACTTAAATGTTTTCACAAACTGACCTCATTCCAACCTTGGAATGGGAAAGGTATTTGTTTTCTACTTCTAGAATCACTGTAGGTCTAAGGTACCCCAGAATGAAGAGGATATATACTGTGCTGGGCTCAGCCCCCCTTCCCCACCAGTCCCTAGGTGCTAATACTGGGCATACCGACAGCTGGAAAGTTCTATAGCCTGAGGACCTAGAGGAGGAAGGCTAGGCATCAGCAGAGGCTGAGTCCCCAGGAGACCTGCACTGTCCCATCTGTTAGATGCAGAAGGCAGGAAGACAAAACCAACAGGAGAGCCCCTTGGGCTCCAACACCTAATCTTACTTAAGCAATCCCCCTGCTGCCCTTCTCAGAGGTTCCTTAGCCTGCTATGTGACTGGCAGATGTCTAGTGACCCTATTCTACCTTGCTGGGAGTCTGCACATGTGGGTGATACTATGGGTTCCAGTAGCTGCAGGAAGGGCTGGTTTGACCATAAGCCAAACAACATATCCATTAGTTCAAGAGACACTGGGAAGTGAGATGATGTTCAGTGCGTGTACTCTGCAGTGGAGGTCCTTTTGGGGATCTCAGGCTGTGTGTATGCTGGCTTGACACTGCAACAGGGACAGCATTGCCTGGCTAGGCTTCCATTTTAGGAAAAAGCTACCACGTTGGTAAAGGCTTTGCCCACTAAAGGAAACCCTAGTGTCTGGAAAGAGAGAACCTCCCTCCTCCCATCCAAAAGCAGGGATCCAGAGCTGGGGCTGTGGGAGAACCTGGGAGGCAGGGAGGCACTGCTGATCCTTTTTGCCGTGCAGAATGAAGAACAAACAGACCACCACCACAATTTTATTCTTAAATAAATGCTCAGTCTACGGCCAGGTTAGGAGGACAGGTGGGTGGAATGAGAGAAGTGCAGATCCCGGGCACCCTTGCTGTGGGTGAGCGGACACCCAGGGGAGGCAGAGTTGGCCCAGAAGGGCAAGCAGTATGCACAGGGCCAGAGGAGATAATCCAACTGCTGGAGTCCGTTCTGCCTGTGTCTGTAAGGGCAGAAATAAGCCATATCTCCATACTCTTGGCAGGTGGTGTCAGAAAGCTCAGAGTGGTCCCGAGCCCCTGAGCCCCCTGCCCAGGCTCTCCATGCCCGGCTCAGAAAGTAGGGGATCAACCAAGTGGGGCCAAGTGCGCTGCTGCTGTAAGTGTTCCCAGCAAGAGCTCAGATATAGTGGCAGGAGAGGGAGAGTGGCCCCATGCCTGCCACCAACACCGTCCACACAGATACATGTTTGGTCACTGGCAGGACCTCTTTGCCTGCCTGGCTGCATCTGAGTCCTCTCTCCAGGTATGCACCAGGCTCTTGAGCACCGCAGGTGTGGCACTCCCCGGGTTCCAGGGGCCGGGGCTGCAGACCAGAGGAAAAGGGGAGGAGGGCAGGTCTTCATGCTCCCTTCCCAGGCCAGGTTCAGTGCTGGCGCTCAGCTTCTGACTTCCCTAGGAATTCCCTAGATCAAAAGAGGACAAACAGCCAAATTACTGAGCTCAGACCAAAGATTCCATCCCAGTGATCCTCAAGTAGCTGAAGAAGCAGAGGGCACACAGAGGAGGGGGCAAAGAATCTAAAGAGCACCGTGCTCCTGAATAGAAAAATACTGAGGTAAGCGGAGCACAAATGGCATTGTACTGTGTCAAATCCAGGCCAGGGCTTCCATTCCTTATTCTAAAATTTAGCTCTATACTCAGTCTAAATTCTCTGTAATATATTCCTTTTATGGTTTGGAGATGAGGTGTCCCCCAAACACTCCTGTGTTAATGAAGGAATGTTCAGAGGTGAAATGATTAGATAATGAGAGCTGTCACCTAATCCATCCTAGTTTGAATGGACTAACTGGGTGGTAACTGTAGGCAAGTGGGCATAGCTGGAGGAAGTAGGTCACTGGGAGCATGGTTCATTTGGTATCTCTCTCTCTCTTCCCACCTTCCCTACCACCATGAGCTAAGCTGTTTTCTTCCACCTCAATGTTCTGTCTCATAAAAGGTCCAGAGCAATGGAGTCTATGGGACTGTGGACTGAGACCACTAAAACTATGAGCCTCAAAGAAACTTTACCTCCTCTAAGTTGTTCTTGGTCACAGCAATGAAAAGCTGGCTAACATAATTCCTTTTAAAATGGAAAAAAATTACAACCCTGAAGCAAATCTATACTTTCTTAGGTCTCATATCCCAGTGGCAAAGGATGATAATCTTTAAAGAAATGCAACTTTGCCTCGGGAACTCTCAAAGGCAGCTAGAGAGGAGCTGAAGTTGGAAGTAGAATTACACATGAGTTATACCTCCCTAGAGTTGATTCAGGCAAGCAATTTTAGTCACTGCAGGAAGAAACTAGCACTGTGACCTACTTCTCAAAGCCTACTGGCACAAAACAGCAAAAATTACCCTATTATTAACAACGACAGCAGACTCTATGCAGCCCAATGCTCCATTTAAGCACTACACATCATCCTCTGCCTGTCTCGTGCACAGAGAAATTTAGCATCTTGCTTGAAGTCACATGGCTGGTGTTGGGGCCTGTCTATTCTTTGTTTTTAGTACTGGGGATTGAACCTAAGGGTACTTTATTACTGATCTACATCCCCAGACGTTTTTAAAATTTTTTATTTTGAAGCAGGTTCTTGCTAAGTAGCTTAGGGCCTAAGAGGCTGAGGCTGGCCTTGAATCTGTGATCTTCCTGCCTCAGCCTCCCGAGTTGCTGGGATTACAGGCATGTATCATCATGCTCAGCAGCCTGTGTCCTTTGACAGGAAGGTGAGGCTGGGCAGCAATCTAGACAGAAGCATAAGTGAAGGGGTAGTTTGGTCCATTCCAAACCCTGCCCTTTGTCACCACTGCCAAGGCCTCACTCTCATATTTGGGCTCTGTTCTCTGAGGTACAGTCCCTGTTCTATCAAAGATTCTGGCCACTTTGAGGCATCCAGGAACACAGCGTCTCCTTGAACAGTAGCTGGGGTCAGGCTTTTGAAGAGCTTGAGGCAGTGGTAGATATGTATTTGAGTGCTCCTATATAAGTGTGGCCATCTGTGAGCTGGGAACAGACTTGTGTGCTGCCCTATGTATGTTCTCATGGTCCTGTATGACCTTTACAATGGGAAGATCATCCACTCCTCTGAGCATGGGTGCAGTCCAAGATGGAGAGAAGATAAACTTTCCAACCCTTCTGTGATGTTAATAGAAGCCTCTTGAGTTATTCTGGCTCTGGGGCCCATTGAGCTCCTCAAATAACTTCAGTGGCTGCCACAGGCTGCATGCCCAAGGCATGAGCCACTACTCCCCAGATGAGGTCCCTAGGTGAGAAGAGAAGGTCTTACCTCAGTATCCGTGGAAGCTCGGGGCTCTTGTAGATGTATTTGTGCCTGTAGCCAAGGTCTGAATGAAAGGGGATAAACTGAACTTTGAAGTCTCGGAAGCTTCGAGATGGTGCAGCAATGTTATAGAGCTGGAGAGAGGGAGAGATGGTTCAGAGCCCAGAGATGGCACCTGGCATGGAGGCCCAGGACCTGAGGGAGACCTGCCTGCAGCCTCTCCTCCAAAAAAGACCAGTCTGGCTGCTTCC